AAATTGCTTTAAAAAATTCTTAGGTAGACGCACAGACACCATTCGGCACGTCCAGAGGCCAGATGGAACCACAGCTGAAACACAATTAGACATCGCAAACACAATGGCTACATCTCTCACCAAAAACTCATCCCAAGCAAACTACAACACCACTTTTCAAAACATCAAAACTAACAAAGAAAAACAACACCTAAACTTCCACTCAAACAACACTGAAACCTACAACGCAGACCTCACAATAGATGAACTAACATCGTGCATCTCGGACCTGGGCGATACAGCCCCGGGACCGAATGACATCCACAACAAGATCATTAGACACTTACCTTCAGAAACACTCACATTCCTACTACACATATACAACGACATGTGGCGGTCGCACTCCTTTCCGGAGTCTTGGCGTCTTGCCACTGTCATTCCAATACCCAAACCAAACAAAGACCACACACACCCATCCAATTACAGACCTATAGCTCTAACGAGCTGTCTCTGCAAACTGATTAAAAAAATGATTCACAGGCGACTCATGTGGTTTCTGGAAACGACGGGCTTGCTGAGCGGTCTCCAGTGCGGATTCAAGAAAACTCGATCCACTCTGGATCACCTGGTCCGCCTGGAGACCTTTATACACGAGACGTTCGCTGAAAGAGGCCACATGATTGCCATCTTTTTTTACCTAGAAAAAGCCTTCGACACAACCTGGAAGTACGGCATTCTTCGAGACCTGCACGCACTCGGCATACGCGGTCACCTCCCTGCCTTCATTGGCAACTTCCTGAAGAACCGTTCCTTCCAGGTTCGTGTCGGATCCTCCCTTTCAGACCCCCACCAACAGGAGGAAGGAGTCTCCCAGGGTAGCATCCTTTCTCCTCTCCTATTTGAAATTAAAATAAATTCCAGTGAAAACCCTCCAAAACAGCATAGACAGCTCGTTATACATTGACGACCTTTTGATATGCTGCCGTTCGAAAAATCCTCATTTGAGATCTATGGAAAGGCAGCTGCAAACGTGGGCAAACAATAACGGTTTCAAGTTCTCCCCGTCAAAGACGTTGCAGTACACTTCTGCCGAACAGGCAGATGTGTGCTGCAGCCGGATTTGACACTATACGGGGAAAGGATTCCCGTCCAGGACCAAGCTCGTTTCCTCGGTGTCATTTTCGACAACAAAAAAACTCACATTCATACCACACATCAAAGACCTTCGTGTGAGGTGCCAGAAAGCGTTAAACGCTCTGAAAATTCTATCGAATCCGGAGTGGGGCGGGGACTCAAAACACCTTCTCCACTTGTACATCTCCCTTGTCCGGTCCAGGCTTGACTATGGCTGTCAAGTCTACAGATCGGCAAAACCACACGTCTTAAAAATACTAGATCCAATACAAAACCAAGGACTCCGCCTCGCTCTGGGGGCTTTCCGCACTTCTCCGGTGGAGAGCCTCCAGGCCGAGGCCAACATACCACTTAAACAGAGCTCAACACCGGAAAATCCAGCGCACAACAGCATTTTTAAAACAAACCCAGAAACCATAAACAAATTCCAAAACAACTAAAAACTCATCAAACCCTTCGGCCTCAAAATCCTTGAGGACCTCAAGAACTTACACTTCTCCAAACAAGACATCCAACAAATTCTTTTCCCCGACCTCCCTCCATGGCACCTCACCAAGGCAAAAATAGACTTACAGCTGACCACACACAACAAAGAAAGCACAAACACCGAAACTTTTTAAGCAGAATACAAAAAACTAATAGATAGATACCCCGGTGCGGAGCTCATCTTCACGGACGGCTCCAGAAAAGACAATGAAGTGGGCGCCGCAGCCTTATCTCCCAACAATACACACCAGAGGAGACTCCATCCTGAAGCCTCCATTTTCACTGCGGAGGCCACTGCCATCGACATGGCACTGGACTCTGTAGAAAATTCTCCTAACAAATCTTTCCTTATCCTTTCTGACTCTCTGTCTTGCATCACCTCACTCACAAACTACACACTCTTACATCCAAAAATAGTTAGGCTACAACAGAAAATTCATACACTATCCGAAACAGGAAAAAACATTATGTTCGCATGAATACCCAGCCATGTGGGCATCCGAGGAAACGAGCAGGTAGACGACCTGGCGAAGAAAGCTTCATCCCTTCTGCTGGGATCAATGACAAACACTCTCCCACAGACTGACATTAGAAATAAAGTCAAAAAGTATACCTCCAGTCTGAGGGAGAGCCACTGAGAAAACCAGAAAAATAATAAACTATATGAAATAAAACCCAAACTAGAACAGCGAAATCCTTCGGACCTCTCCAGAAGAGACGAAGTCATTTTTACTCTATTGCGCATCGGAATAACGGCCCTGACCCACAAATACCTCCTACAGGGAGACGAGAAGCCGTTCTGTGTCGGATGCGACACAGATTGTACCATTAGACACATCTTAACCGAATGTCTAGACTTTGGAGAGATCCGAAGGAAATATTATAAATGCAAGAAATTGCAAGATATTTTTTCTGTCATTCCCAGCAGAATTTTGAATTTTATAAAGGCCATTGGCCTTTATGGCAAGTTGTAAAATGAAAAATGAAAACGTACTATTTAAAATTTTAATTGTTACCTATAATATAAGAGTTGTTTTAAATCACAAATATATTTACACTGAATTTTAATATTTTAACATTTTAGTATTTTAAAGTCAATTAGTTGACCAATCGTGCTGTGAACTTTTGCGAAAGTAAACAACTTGTGTTTCGCGCGCTCATATGACCTTAGCAGTTGCGAGCGCCGTAAAACCCTATACTACATACATACATACAGTGTTCAATTTTCTTTTCTTTTTTTTTCATAATTGAAAACCAGGGTTGGGTTGATTTAAATCAGGTCAGTTTAAATCAGTTGATTTTTAAAATTTTAAATCAACTTGATTTTAAATATAAAATTTTAAAAATGTATTGTTTTTACATCTTTAAACATTCAGAATTCCTTTCCTTGGTTTTATAAAACAGATATAAGGTTTAGTAAACTAATATAATCATGCTTAAAAGTCTGCTTCCCCCCTGTCACTGTAAGTAGTAAAATAATACAGTATTCAATTTACTTTTTTTCATAATTGAAATCAGCATTTTTTATTTTTTTTTAGACAAACACAAGCGCGCACACACACACTGTAATAAAATGCAAGTTTATCTATGCATAATTACCCCCTCCCCCCTTCGTTTTAGACTGACATTTTCTTCATTTTTTGTCTGTAGCCATAATTCACTGATATAGCAGATTAAGGCTTTCTTTTGCAGTTGCTTAAATTAATTAGTTAAAATAAAGACAATGCATTTTGCACTAAAAGAACATAATTTTAGCCACAAAAAATCCCAAACTGTCGACATTTGAAAAATAAATTTAAAAATTTGATTTTTTAAATTTGTATTTAAAAAATCAAAAAAATCACCAACCCTGTGACTACCCCTCAGAGACAGTGGAACATCATCTGTTCTTCTGCAGAAAACTAACTGATTTAAAGGGATGTTTTCTTCCCAAGCTACCCCACATATCTAATTGCCTCTACTCCTCAAGACAACAATTAGAACAGACATGCAGCTATTACCGAATGGCATCATGCAGAAGAGTTAACGCTCAGATGCTACTGGATCGCTAAGAACAACAACAATCGAGATAGACGTGCTTTGGACCAATCGGGGGGTTCCAGGGGGGGCTGAGGTAAAAGAAAATCTGGGGGGTTACAGAGGGCATACCCCCCTCTTTTAACCCATAATTTGATATTTTAGTTAGATTAGAAATTTTCTTGAAAATAATTGATTTGCGACAGATTTAGTGGCTTTATTTGTGATCTGCAGCAAACAGTACTGCAGTTTGACCCCTGAAGCAGTGCATCTGTGTGCGGGAGTGAAAGTAAAAATTTACCGTTGATAATAATATAATTGCGAATGGAGTCGCCCTTGTGTGTGAGTGAGTGCGTGTGTGTGTAAGGTGGCGTGGAGGGATTTTTTTGTTTACATTAAGGATTTTAATTTTTGCTGGGTGACTAAATGCAAAATAGGCTACTGCCAAGGTCGATCAGTCTTGTTTTCTCACAGTACCTTTGAAGGCATTTTCAAATGAGGTATAGTCCGGTAACAAACGTTGCCCCAACCACAACTGAAGGATCTGAATATTCAGACATATAAAAATCTCTTACTCGCTAGAAATTGAATTCGATGCAAAAAATGCTTCTTCCCAGTCCTCGCAGAATGGCAGAATGAAAGATGACGCCTGAATCTCGCAAAGAACCGAAAAATCTCGAAAACGGAAACTGTTAAAGGAGAAATAGAGTTAAAGTTTATTTTCCCGAGCGTTCGGAAAATAGTATTTTTATTAGGTCAGCCCCCCTGAGGCCCCCCTACTTTTGGGGCGAATAACAATTTCGAGGTGGGAAATACCGAAAAAGCGCCAATTGCTCATGCTGCCTGTACTTAGATCTAGATCTGAAGGTAGCATCAGGGTATTTCAACTCAATCCTGTCTAAGAAAGAATGGCAAGGAAATCAGAAAGTTGAGAATGTAGGCCTACTTTCGACTTCTTCCGTTCTAGATCTAGATATCTAGATTTAGTAGTCTAGAGATCTAGATCTAGATCTACTTGGACTTGTACAGTTAAAGTTAAAGGCACGTTGCCGTTCTGTTGAATTACGCGATTGGTGGATCGTGCAGCGCGTTTTGTGGATCCTTGGAATGCACAACACGATCGATGCACATTCTGTATATCGCGCAGCGCTTTTTGTGAATCCCATCATATAAAACCATTAAAAATACTAGACTAGGACTAAGAAGCTCAAATGTGGCATCCTATCTGTCCTCTGCTATGAAATACAAGGTGTTGTCTTTTTTTTTTATGATCGCGGGGTGGGGGGGGGTGGGGGGGTAGAAAGTGGTCATTTGTTGTACCGTAGGTGGTGTTACATGGAAGTTTTAACTCTTATTTGTATTCACCCAGCATCCTTTGTTCACAGATGGAGGTGCCTTGTCTGATCGGACTACTGGACTTGCAGCAACTTTGCACAGAAAATGGACTGAAGCTGTCTCAAGAAACATTGCAGTATGTGGTCTATGAAATGCTCAAAAAGTTAGGACCCAGCCAGTCTCAGAAGCTTATTACCAAGCGTAAGTTCAGTAGCTAGCTAAGTCATGGTTTGTTTTTTTGTTTTTTTGCGTTTCATTCGTTCAGCTGTTTGATGTGAACCTCCGGGTCGGTGCCACTGACTGAAGTGTCTTTAGGCCATTCCCAAAGGGGTGACATTTCTCGTTGATGCACAGTAGAATTGTAAATGGGCTGATTCATCAATGTCATGCTCATAACTGTGCCTGATCTACAACAGGGAACTGCTGCTTTTTCTTTCCTAATCCTATTGTCATTTTTCCTCTACTTCTTTTGTATGTTTGTCACACTCTTGTTACCCACGATTTCCGGGGTGTCTTGATAGTCGAAGCAGACTTTGTGCTGTTGAAGCTAGAGAGGTGAGCAGAGTAAGTCTGATTCCCTGTTAGGACTTCTCTGTTGACATCCACCCCTTGGCACTCATATGACCTTATGCAGTTGCGAGCGCCGTAAAACCTCTACTAAAACTAATAACTTTGATGTGACATCTAGGAATGTATATATTTCCATTCTTTACCTCTGCTTCTGCTGCCTTGCTATATATTAGATTCTAACTGCCAAAAGCAAGTGGGGTTTTTTGGGGGTTTTTAAAAAAAGTGTTTTACGGCACTTGCAACTGCATAAGATCATATATGAGCGCACGGGACACATTAAACTTTTTCAGTTAATAGGAAATTTTGGATTTTGCCCACATGGCAGCCGAAGCCTACTCTTATCAATTTTAGATCATCAAGGGATCTTTAACGTGCACAACTTGCACACGGGCCCTCCGAGATTTTCGCCCTTGTCCGAGAAGGCCAGATGTGGATCTTTCCCACCAGAAGATCAGGTGTGTGGCTGAAAGACAGCAGTAAGAAGGTCAAGGAGTAGCAGTAGAAAGGCTGCAGAAAGAGTCAGGGGCAAAGGAGTTGAGGGGGTGGGGGCAGAAAGAAGAGATGAAAGCAGACAACGAAACATTGCGAGAGAGCAGGAAAGGAGGTGAAAGACAATTTTAGAGAACATTTTTCAGTCGCTACTTGGATTGGAACATACCTTAACCTCGAGGCCACGAGAGCCCACTTAGCAAAATTCCGTAACCTTTATGGTCTCAGTCGTTCAGTATACAGTCAACTGCTACTTGTCTATTGATTTGTAAAGAGGATGTGTGTCCATATTTATGAAGATAAATGTACTAAGATCATTGCTCCTGAGACTTCTCATTTCCAAGTTTTAAAGTAGGTGGTTGGTGGAATATCTGGTGTGGTTTGCCCCTTCTTTCCTATCAAACAAACTATCCATCTCTCCTTTTTTTTTATGTATCTGGTACTCTCCAGTAACACCTAATCTTTGGCACTTATATCTATGTTGCAAGAGCCAAGGTATTGTTTTTCTCATTACATTTGTAACAGTGTGACAGCGATACTTAAACAGTTGTAAGGGTTTCTGAAATTACTGTACTTCAGCAAAAGTCTGCTTTTGTAGCTGCCTGGTACAGAGAGGTATTGAATTTATGATTCAAAGGTGTTTTGTAATATCTTGGTTGCTTACAGCTCTATACACAAATTTTTAAGTGAAGTTAATTAAACATGATGCTTGTGCAGTGTCTTTCTGTTCAGTAAAAATTGAGGAACTCCCCTTAGATTTGTGTATACCTTTCAAACTTTCTGCTTTAAAATCACATTTGACTGTGACTCCTTATGATTGTAATCTGTTTAATGTTCACTTTTCTTTTCTTTTTTTTTTTCCAGTTGTTGAAGATGGTGTCATTGAATGGGATGATGACTTTGAAGTAGAGATGATACTAGACCATTGGTTTGACAAAGAAGAAGTAAGTGAGCGTGCCACTAAATAGATTGGGGGGGCTCCAAAGCGAAACTATTGTCTTTACATACGTATCAGCAGAACTTCTTTGGTTTGGCGTATTGAGTGCATTGTGCCGTGACGCTGTGGAATCAGGTGCTCGTCTGGTTTCAGTGGTACAATTAATGAGAAAATGGCCACCAAAGTTTGGTATCTTCAATAGTTTAAGAGTCCTTTTAAAACTGAATATTACAAATGTTGTGCCTTTAAATGTTTTTCAAGTAAAATTCATATGGAAATGTTTTCCTGTAAATATGAAAGGTATTTAGCCAAACAAAATTTTGATTAAAATTGCCAAACTGGTGGAAAGATGGCTTTTTCTTCTATTTCATTATTTTGACGAGCCCTTGATTTCACAAAGATGCCTCACATGTGTGGGCTCCTCGTTGAAATTTAGAGTACACTGAGTAGTGGATAATTTGGAATGTTTCAAGAGGGGAGTTGACCTGCCTGATTAAGGGGGAGAGAGTAAGGCAGAGAAAAAGTAGGTATCGTCTGATAAGCTTTGAGTTTAGAATTTGTACTACAGCAGTAGTCTCTGCATATGATCCCACCGTTGACAATCCCGGTTGCTTATGATCCAGCTGTTTTAAGAAAACAATTTTTACTGTACAAAAGTCACCCCTAAGATCCCGCTCTGATTCACACTGAAGGTCTACATTCCACTGAGATCCCGCATTTCAGATAATAATTTACGGAACAAAAACCCAGGCGGACACAGTCGATCAACAGAATGTGAAAAGTTAAGATCATTGAACTGCCCGTCGCATCAAAGATCAGCTACTCTCATGAATATGATCACAAAAGTGTTTTAAAACTCGATGAAACAGTACAATGTTTACGTCAGACGGGATTACACCGAGGTGTTAACTGACCCATGCATTTGTTTTCTCCAAGCATCGCACTGGCATCTGAGCTTTCCACCTAAACTTACATCACTCGTAAGGTGGGTATGACCTACAAGTTCACTCCAGGCAGGACCACATTGAACTGTGAATTCTTCCCTGACCATTGCAGCAGTCGTCTCTACATCCAAATTTTCGAGACAGACTGAATTTCAATTGGTGTGGTCACAAAGTGATGGTGCGTAATGACAAAGACCGGGCCGAGAACTCGGTCAAAGATGAAAAGCTGTAAATTTTGGATAGGTAAAGAGGAGCGGCGTTGATTTTGAGACTCACGATAGGATACTAAGTGAAAATGGCATGCCTCATGCCACTGTGATTGGTCATCAAGGTTGACCACTCTTTGTTTGCCATGTCATCATTGACCCACCCAGGTGTCACCTCAGTTCATTTTAGAGTGAAGATAAGATAGAATACTTCATTGTCCCAGAGGAAAATTTTGCTTGGCTATACACAGGACTGTAAAAACACATGCAAGTATACATAGAAATTTAAGAAATTTAAATGGTGTATTTACTTTAATTAAAATTCAATATGAAAAAATGAAAAGTAAAGCTGACAAAATGTACAGATCACATCAGATGCATCATTCAACCACATGCGGGAATTTAATTACAATACCATTTTACCAGTTGCGGGTCTTAAACTCTTAACATGGGTCACCGCAGATTCTTCCCCTTATGCTTCGGCTAAGACTAAGATCGCGTCCTGCATTTTCCTTTCTCCTGAGTACTGGGATCTTAGGCGGAGACTACTGTATTTACTTAATTTCAGTCATTCCCTTCAAGAACTTATTACTACAGGTGGCTGGGACTTGAGGCTTCTTAATGGTTCTGTTGCTGTAATGTCATACTTTAAAGCTAAAAGTAATTTGATTATAAAATCTCTTCAGTACTGTTAACACTGGCAAAAAGTATATTCCAAAATTCGTTTGGTTTAGTATCAAATTCAAATTGACATACCAAACAAAAGAAGCAGTTAATCAGTCCATTAAAAATATTTTTGTTCTATATGAAATAAAATGATTACCTCAAGTAAAAGAAAATATAATAAGAAAGTGGTGAATAGTGCAATAGGAATTCTGTCTTTCTCAGCGGATGATTTTCATACATGCACCAACTGACAAAAGTAGGCTGGCATTTGTTGTACATAACTGGGGAGGGGGGGGGGGGGCACGAGAATTTGCTTTCTCTCATACCCTTGTGCACCAGCCGTTTGGTCCTTTTTTTCTTCTTTTTTTTTAAGGTTTTCCTTTGCTGAATTTTTATTTTCATTTGCTTGTCACTTTCATTACTTTCAATATATGGGGGGGGGGGGGGGGGGGAAATTAAAAATTGGCACAAAAATTTTTTTTTTTGAGGGGTTTGGGCTAGGTTTTTTTTTTTTTTTTTAAAAATTCTTTTTTTTTTAAATTTTTTTTTTCCCAAAAAAAAAAAGGGTCTCCCCTAAACAAAAAGGCGGGGGCGGGGGGCGTTGGAAAAACACAACGTGGGGGGCCCCAAAAAAAAATTCGAAGGGGTGCCCCTGGGCCCCCCCTTGGGCCTTTTTTTTTTTTTTTTTTTAAAGGATTTCTTTGCGGAAATTTTTTTTTTTAATCTGCCTGCCCCTTCCTCTCTTCCAAAAATAGGGGGGGGGGGGGGGGGGGGTAATTATTAAATTTAGTCACTAGTTTTGTTTTTTTATGATGTGTTTGTGCTTGGTCTTTTCTTCTTTTTTTAGCAGTTTCTTTTTTTACATTTTTCTTTCCCAGAACGAAATGTTCTACCTAATCAAATGGCTGGGCTGGAGTCATGAATACAACAGCTGGGAGCCCAAGAAAAATCTGAGCTGCTCCGCTCTCCTCGAGGAATTTCACATCCACAATGGGCTCAAACCCAACCGCAAGCGAAAACTATATCAACCATTTGCCAAGGTGGAGGACCCTCAAGCTCGCAAGAGCCGATTGATAGAGGAACTGTTTTTCAAACTGACTCGGGCCAACATTATGGACAAGATTTCCCTCATAGACTTGGTGAACCATCACAGCCCAGTGAAGAAGCGTGCTGAGAGTACATGTTTGGTTACTAGTGGGCACAGGAAGAAGTACGTCCGCAGGATGGCAGACATCGGCTCAAAGAAGGGGAAGACATTCAAAGCGAAAAAAGCTGAGGTGGGGAAAGCGTTGAAAGATTGGGAAACCTACATTAACAGCGTTGCACAAGAGCTGGACCCTGCGCCATTATATGTGGAAAATGTGGTGGACCTGGAGGGGCCTCCTCACAATTTTATCTACATCAACAAGAGGAAACATGGTGAGGGGGTTGACATACCTCAGGACCCTCTCATCGGATGCGATTGTGACGATTGCCACGACTGTCGCAAAACTTGCTGCCCAGTCAACAGCGGGTCGCAGCTGGCCTACAGAGTGAGCAAGAGGCTGAAAGTACCAAGGGGGGTTCCTATTTTTGAGTGCAATATGCGCTGCAAATGTGGTCCAGACTGTGTTAATCGGGTAGCTCAAAAGGGTAGGACATTCAAGGTTTGCATATTTCGTACACCGAATGGAAGAGGCTGGGGTGTCAAGACTCTACAAAAGATCAAGAAAGGTTCCTTTGTCATGGAATATGTTGGAGAAGTACGTTTACACAATTTTGAAATATTTTTTTCCTTAGTAGTAAGGATTGTGTATTTCTCTTTCCTTTTGGTGTTTTGGAAAGGATGTGTCTTTAAGAGGTGTCTGTCTTTCACTTCTTGTCTCATCAATTGAGGTCTAGTGTGTGTGTCTGATCTTCTGCATTGTCTCTCCACAAAGTTGTCAGATTGTGCATTGCCAGAGATCTCTATTCTTCTTGTTGTCTGTTAATGGTGTTGGGCCAATAGGTACGGAGGGTGCTCCAAACACAAATATTATTATTGATGGTTTGCACTTCCTTTCTTTAAAATTGTTTTGGTTATCCAGTGTCACTGCTCTGTGTGACAGGACCAGTTCAGATTTGCCTCTGAATATCTAAACATCTTCAATACAGGGTCCCCACCAGGTCGGGAAAAAGTCGGGAATTTTGAGATAGGTTGGGAAAAGTCGGGAATTTTGCGATGGGTCGGTAAGTCGGGAAAGGAAGGGCCTGTGTAATATTAGTAGTGTAGCTATCTAGACAGTATGGTTGATAAATCATGAAGAGGAAACGTAATTGAACCGCTGTGGCGGAAGTGCATGTGTGACACCGAGGCTCGATCGGAAATAATCAAGATCTGCTTTCGCTTTCGTTACCACCCAGAAATTTTCCGGTAATTTGATAAATAACGCAACATTTGTAACATGCAGGTTGTGCATTGCGAACGCAGTGTGGCCTTGAAAATAAATCAATATTAAAAGTTTGTCCTCTGCTGTCACTTGCGAAAAAAAAAGAAAAGAAAGTTATTCAATCGTCTTGTCAGGTTCGCCCTCGTGACCGGTGGAGAACCGACGGTCTGAGCGCTGTGAAGTATAGGACTTTAATTTTTTTTTTACGTAAGATACACTCAGGGAAGGGGGGGGGGGGGCTGAAGACTACTTTAGAGGTCAAAAACTGAACTTGGAAGCAAATTTTTAGTTTTAAAATTTTGATAACTACTAGATCTATAAGATTAAGAGCTCTCTGCAAAACGCGTGTTGGTGCAGGCCTTGTGTGGAATCGGGATCCGTCATGCCTTGTTATTGAACTAAAGTGTTCACGTTTCATTGGATGGGGTGACTAATTTATATGTAGATCTATATTTTCTGTTCAAAATTGGCAGAATTTCAGTGTCACTGCATCTTGCCTTGCCCTCCCTCAGTTCTTACACCTCTCACACTGAATAGGTCTACTTGAGCCATTCAAGTTATTACTAATATTACTCTACTTTGAGTTTGAGCAATATTTTTCGTCTTCACGTTTATTATATGAATCATGACACTCAGACTGGTTATTGACAGTCGATATTCTGGTTCTAGGTCTTTTCTCAGGCTCAAAACATGATTCCTTTTTTATATAGGGCCTATAGTTTATATAGGCTAATATGATGAGGGGAAATTATAAATACATGTAAGTAAGAACAGACTGAAATACCAGTCACACAAGATCCCAGTGTCACACTGACATGTTGGCTGGATATAAACTGACATGTTGGCTGGATATAATGTAGCTACATGTGTGTGTGTTCACAAACATATACATATTATTATACTAGATATAAATGGAGCATGCGCTGTCATTGTTATGTAACATGCCCCAGGAAATGGAGAAGCTGGGTAGCAGTCACCCAGTATTATAATCATCTATTGTTTGAATGAAGGCTCTACTACAAAATGTACATTTGCATTCATTTAAAGAAATTTTGACTTTTTATCATTGATAGATGGCCTTTTTCAGGGATCATTCTTGACGCGCAGCAGCCTGATTTTTTCCCTCAAATTGGGTTCTTGAAAAAAATTTCCAGGATTTGGTGGGGACCCTGTCAATAAAGTGAACAGTTTTAATTAAACTTGCACTCCAGATATATTCCCCAGCTGCAAGAAGGCTGCTTAAGCTTTAATTTTCATCCATCCCTCCCTGTCTTTCAACTGCTCCTCATAATGAATGAGTCTACCTTTCTCAGGAATATAATATGTCAACCTGCCAGATGGGTTTCATGTTTGTTGTAGTTATTGTGTTGGCCATCCTGACCTTTGACAGCATTGCTCATGCTATGACTGCACTTGTCTACATGGCTTTTTAGATTAATTTTGCTTTGGAGGTTCTATGATTTTCAATATACAGCCGAACCTGTGAAAGACGGAATCGCAAGGGAGCCTGAAAAATATTCCATCTTGGGGGGGGGGGGGGGGGGTCAGGTCAGCAAGCAGTGGTCAAAACTTCACACCTCTCAACTGCTACCCTTTCTGAAAATGACATGCAGTCTTACTTATCCAATTACCACCAATGCTTGCATTTCATATGACCAAAGTGCTGTAATCTATTAAAAACAAATGTTTGAACATCTCATTTGCTTCCACTCTTAGCCCCACCCATCCATGTAACAAGCAGTCAACCAATGCCACACCTCACTGCCATGTAACAATGATTCGAGGAATTCTTTTTTTCGGCTGGGCGTGCGATCGGGCGGCAGGCATTGGTCAAACTAATTTTACACCTCTGGCTTCTGGCTACTCAGGGGATAGAATCCACTGGTGTCTGTGGTGCAATGGTTAGACTCTTTGCCTACTAGCTTGAAGTGTCACATGTTGAAGCTCCTTAATTCAATGTCTTTGTCCTGGGACGCTGTATCCTACTAAATGTTGGTTTTCCCCGAACAGGCATGGTAAAAACAACTTGCTTCCTGAATGGTCTTAAGTGTTGATGGGTGCTTGAACCATTTATTCATCTAGACAGTGATTCAAAATTGGTTGTGTCATATCTTTAGGGTGCAATGTTTAACGATCTCGTCTGGATATCTGTATCTGGCTCTCTGATTCTTGTAAAACGTGATTTTTGTACAGTGGAACTCAGATTCAACGAGGTCCCCGGGCCTGAACTAAAATCTCGTTGAATCCGAGTGTTCGTTATAGCAAACATTAGGTTTTGTGTAGATAATTACAGGCACTGAGCAAGTAATTTATAAAAGGAAGTAACAATTGGTGCTGCCTGAAATGCCTGCATATTATGAACTGTGCCAAAAAAAAAGACCAATCAGTTCAAATGCACGCCTGTGTCGTCTCGATTGTTTGCCAAAAAGTTGTGCAGCTGTGTAGAGCCTAGCATACGGCAACTTTTCATTCCTTAGACCAGCACATAATTCATAACGTAGATCTATGTCAAGACTAGCTTATCATTGTAATATTGATCAGTTGCCGGGGGGGGGGGGGGAATGACTGACTCATTTGTATCTCTGCTACGTTCCACCTCTGAACCGCTGGTGCGCCGCCCCCCTTCCGACACACGCACACTACACAGTCACACGTGTACAAGCCGCCCATCCGACCCCGACACGCGCTAGGCCTAGAGTAGACACGTGTACAAGCCAACAACGTTGTGTTGGTATTAAAAAAGGCAGCTGGTTGGTTGCATGCAATTTGCTAAGTAAATAATTGTTCATGATGCAGGAGCAATGGATGGTTTCCGGGAATAGAGCGAAGCCACGTCTGCGGGGGCTATTCACCCTGGAAGCGACCTCGTTGAATCCGAGCTTGCTGATTTAAGTGTTCGTTGAATCCGGGTTATTTTTATTGATTTTAAAGAAGAAAAAGAACGGGGAATCCATCTCCCCTCTTTGAATCCGAGTTCCACTGTACTCATAGACAATGATTTTTTGTTTTGTTTCTTATTCTTGCTGGTGTGACTTCTCTTTGACATTGTGAGGGATGTCATTTTCCATGTACAATGAAGCCTTAGACCCTTAATTGTATTTATGTTTTTCTCTTTTGACTCTTTAGAGATTTGCCATTGAATTTCAATGCTTTTTTTCTGTTCTGTTTTATACGACTTTCCTGACCTTTATATCTGTCTTTTTGTCTTCCCTGAACCATTAGATCAGGTGAATGTTGAGTCCCGTTACTTTTATTTTTCCTAATTTGTTCTTGACAAAATATGACCCTTGTTTTTCAAACTTTGTGTTAATTACTACTCAGCAACTCCTTTCATATTGCTCAGGTAATCTCAAATGAAGAGGCTGAAAGACGAGGGAAGGAGTATGATGCCTGCGGTTTGACATATCTCTTTGATCTCGACTTCCATGATGCAGAGGGCCCCTATTCTGTGGATGCTGGTGTGTATGGCAACGCTGCACATTTCATCAATCACTCGGTGTGTATTTGTTATTTAGATGTTTTAATGTCTTGTTTTCTAGAATTTAATCAGAACATATTTGCAAAGTCTTTTATTGATGTTTTAACCAGGTTGTTGATTGTTAAAAACTTTTTTCTTGGGAAAATGATTTGTTTTTAAAATTGTTAATCTGTTGAATTTCAAATTGCAGTGTTGTCTGCATGTGTAAGTGTTTGAGTGGTGCTTTTATTTCTTAGTAAGCAGTTAGGAGGGAATAAAGAGAAAGGAGAGGATCTAATGGAGTGCCTGAAATATTCAAAGATAATGTTTTGGCTGTTTCTGTTATTGTTGATTTCTAGCTGTTAGAAAAATATATATTGCCTTTTTTTTTTTTTTTTACTTACCGCAACAATATTTGTGGTGGGGCTCACAGTAAAAGAAAAATTCCCATCTGCCATCTCTGACGTTCTGTAAATGAAAATGTTCAACTTGATTGTGGGGATCGGTTTTGCACTGACATTTTAGTTAGTAAAGAAAAATGTATGATTTGAAAAGAGATTATTTTTTTTCCACCTACAAGATATTTCTTTTTGTGTGTTTTTTGTTTTAAACTGGAAGGGAGACTTGTCTGAATTAATGTTGGTTCTTTTCTTTCTTTGTGTAGTGTGATCCAAATTTAGAAGTGCACGTCGTGTGGATTAACACTCTTGATCCAAGGTTCCCTCACATCTGTCTGTTTGCCAAAAGGGACATTGACAGAAATGAAGAGCTTTCTTTTGATTATCTGAGTGGTGAGTTGTTTATAATATCAAATGAGAGACTTCCCATGCTTCTATTTCTGAGTTCAGGCTAGAGGTTTTTTATGGTGGTTGTCTTTTGTCAAATTTGTGTAGATTGAATTTTGTCACTTTGAAGGGAGACAAAACTGTCCTGCTCAGTTAGCCAAATCGTAAGGTTTAACAATGAAGCCCAAGAGGTACACATTTTATTTATTAAATAAATGATGCCTTTGTTTTTAAACCAACCAAAGAAAGCGGGTACAGTAGTCTCCGCCTTGGATCTTAGGCGGATGGGATCTTAGCCAACGCACCAAGGGAGGAATCTACAGTGTTTGTTATATGTGGCCATATGGTGAGCAAAGAGTGGGTAACCTTGATGACCAATCATGGTGGCACGAGTCATGCCATTTTCACTTATCTTCTCGTGTCTCAAAGATCTACGCTTATCCAGTTGCCCTTCCCCTTTTTGTCTAAAATTTATAGCTTTCCATCTCTGAGTTTGAGTTTCCCCCGCCTTTGTTGGTACACACCATTATGTTGGACCACACCAATTAAAATTCAGTCTGTCTCGCGAAATCGGGAGTAGAGACAACCACTGCAGTGGCCAGGGAAAGAGTTCACAGTTCGATGTGATCTTGTAGGCCGTACCCACCCAGCATGTGATGTAAGTTTAGGTGGAGAGGCTCAGATGCTAGTGCAATATTTAGGGAAGATAAACGTGTCAGTCAGTTCACACCTCGATGTGATCCCGTCTGGAGCGAACATTGTACCATTTCGTCGAGTTTTATAACACACATGTGATCGCTTTCACGAGATTGGCTGTTCTTTGCCACTACGGGCAGTTCAATTATCTCAACTTTTCACTCCTGGTTGTTCCGTAAATTATGGTCTGAAATTCAGGATCTTTGCCGAATGTAGACTTTCGGAGAGATTCAGAGCAGGGTCTTAGGGAGTGACTTTCGTTTTAACACAATCTGTCATTTATGATTACTTTATATTGCTATTGAAAAACTCGGAAAGGATTTAGGAACGAAAACATCAAGTTTTCGCTTTGCCAAAGCATGGGTTTGGGGTAAAAGGAGTGAATTGTGTAACCGGACTCAGTATAAATTTCGTTACTCAAACAAAAATTGGAATAATGCTTTCAAATAAAAAGCTGCGCATTCAGAAATTTATGGATTATGCTCTTGGACTGCATATGATAAGATAGCTGTGCTGATTTGCTTTCACATGTTTGGTGAATGTAATTTATGCCGTCAAAATATATTTTTCTTATCACCATCGCCATTTCCAACCCTTCTAATGCATACTTATGTTCAAAATAAATCCTTGTTTCATATTGGGGTGTATTCCTCATTCAATTTGATATATCATATGTTATGTTTTGAGTGATGGTTATGCTTTTATGAAGTTGTTTTGTACTCCACCTGCAGAGCCAAATCGAGCCACATGTTAATTGTGTCTAGAGACATCCCCCCCCCCAAAAAAAAACCCAAAAAAACCTACATCCAGAGAGAGTTGAGCTAACTGAGATCGTAAGTGATGAGATCTTAGGCGGAGACTGCTGTATTAGAAATTATCAACCACATTTTGGGGAGACTAAGATTGCTGTCTTTGATTTATTTATCTGCATTGGTTTTATTTAGTTCTTGTTTTAGTAGTTGGCAATTTGGCACATTATTTTCAGTTTGGCATAAAGTTCCTTAAAATCTTTGTCTCACATTGTTGAAACTTATCGAAGATGGTGTCTCTTACATTGTATTGTTTGAGCTTCTTTTTTCAAGCACATTGGTTTTTTTAACTGATGGTGTTTTAAGACTTGTGTCCTGTGGTAGACGTGACCAACAAGATCTTTAGACCTTAGCAGTGTCATAGACCCTGTGCATCTAACTGATCGTAACTTGAAAAACAAGCCTGCTAAATAAAATCGAGTATGATTGACAATTTTGTCCCTATAGACTCAAGTGCTACAGAACTTCGATCTAAACATGTTAATAAAATTACTGGGATTTTTGTGAATATATTACTGGTATTGTCAGGCTTTAAAATATTTGAAGCGTGCTGACTCAGACATACTTCTGAGTTACTTCGCAATTTATAGCTCTGTGGATATAGATGTGTCAAATTTTAAAGTTTAGTTTGTGCAATTTATTAGTATGAAATTATAAATGAAAATGGCATGTTATACTTTTAAAAAATGAAATGGCATCGGTTGAAAATCTACAACTTTGTTTGTTCATGTAGACCTCCATGTTTTTATCCCCTCATTTTTATTGATTTTTTATTTCATTTTGCTCACTCATGCAAGTTGATGACACCTCTCTTAAAATACTGTTTACTAGAATTTTGAAGGCTGCTATCTGTTTCATAGTAAGCCCTTAAAATATCAATGGGAAAGTCACATCTCTCGCCGTGGATCGATTATCTGTTCGTCTTCTCTTCGTGCAGTTAGTAAGGCATACATCATTGTATTGTATTGCTTGCATGACTTTTGCATGCATGTCAAACTGTTTGTGGTGGATTATGATTTGTGAATATGTCAACATAGAGATGGTCCTTTCAATCTTTTATTAGTCGGATGGGACCATCTAAAAAGTTCACTTAAAGTCCTGTTTGTCAATAATGGTGAAAGTATATGACATGGCCAAATAAATAGAATAAATTGTTCACGTGCATGGGTCTTTGTTCTTCTGCTAGTAAAGCTGAATGGGATAGTTTATCATGTCGCTATAATATAAGCCCTTCCCATCCCAAACCATCAGCTACCTGTCGCACTAAGGGAAGGAATGACTGATGAGTGGCAATTTAACCATGTCCATTTATTTCTTGCGTTGCAGGGCAAATTCGCAATGACACTTCTTTTGAGGAGAGAAATGAAACTATGATGGAAGTAGACGGGACGATGCCAGATGGTTCTTCAGCAGGAGCGGAAAACATGGTCAAGGGGATAGCCGAAGTAGCTGCTGCAGCCTCTCCCGTGGGGGAAAAAGTCTTCAAGGAACCACTGTTTTTGCCAGGAATGGATATTTCTCTCCATCTGAAAGACAAACCAGCAACCCAAGGTGATTCTCAAGACAAGATGTTCCCGAAGATTAACGACCTACCCACCCCACCAGCTTCCGACACAGAATCTGTTTCTGGCAGCACTGCTGGCCCCATGCAAACACCCAGGTTTCAGATGTTGTGCTTGTGTGGCGCGAAAAACTGTCGCAATTTCTTGTTTTTTTAAAGTTACACCATTCCCTCGTAGTTTTTAACTGTGTTAATTCTAGCTGCAGTCGCTGGACTGATGATCCTCGAAATTCTATCGGATAACTCTGACACATAGAATAATTTTTTGCCCTGTAAAGACTTTGGTGTCTAATATATGCTCGTGGGAATTCCACCATAAAAAGATTTTTGCCTCTGTTGGACTTGGGTGCACCACCAATGCTCCTGTTTGGATTTTTTTTTTTTTTATTGCCTTCGTGCTCAGCCCTATACAAATAACGTCATGTGACTAGTAAAATGAAATAATGAAATACGAATTAGTTAACTGCTTCCATCTTCTGGGGGAGGGGGGGGGGGAATAAAGACCTTTAGGTTATTTAACAAATATGTGCTTTGTTTTCTGAATACATTGATTACAATTTGTGTCCCTCTGTCCGTTCCTTTCGTGGAATCTTCATTCTTTGTTGTTTTTTTTTCCAACTGAACGGATAAATTCCGAAATACAGGAAAAATCTCTGGTCTAGTGGCTTTGATCGTGGTAAAACGTACCTATGGGACCACAGAAGAACAATTGCTACCTCTCGCCTCAGGGTGCCATTACACACATGCTGTCTTCATCCTCGTCCCTACCCCACCCTGAAATTGTTTGACTGGCTGATATTGCTATATGACCATGGCGTTCTTTACTAACAGGCCTTCCCAGCGTACGGCTGGGGTCTCGGACTGGGGGCCTACAGTGTTTTCTGTAAGGGAGGCAACTGAAACATTAGGCCCCCTTTCCCTCCCCCTGATTCCCGAGTTTCGCGTCGCCGCTTAGTCAGCCAATGACACTACTGACCTAGATAGCAGACTGACGTATCTGCAAAAAAATGTAATTAGTTTTTGCATCTTCGTTTAAATGGACGCCTATACCCATTCTGCTTCTTGTATCTGCACTACAAATAGAATATTTCACTGAGGAAAACACACGTAACAGAAGGGCCATGCCCATATATTTCCAATGGTAGCGTGACGTAACTCAAAATCATTAAAAGTGCAGATATGTCGCTCTGCCTTGGCACGGCAGAGTCTTGCGTAGTGTGTAATCTAGTCCTCAGTGCAAGTGCAAGCGTGGGCTGTGTACTGTGTAAAATCAGTCCTTTCTCGCTGTCTAGCAAGTCTTTCGCATGCCCTGCAAAATTAAATGTTCAATCGATTCAAAACGTCGTGTTCTGCATTAAGCGGTATATTTATTCACCAATATTTTCATTGTACTGGATATAATAGCTCTACGTAGTGTTCTTTGTTCATGATAGAAATGTGAAGTGTGGATTCAATAGGTGTTATCGTTCCAGTTCAGTCAAGAAGTGTCTCTCTCTTGTACCAGACTCTTCATTCTGCCTTTCTTGTTGAATCCAACCTTGCATTTCATGATCACCAACAACAGTGTGTAAACTCATAAAAATATTCTTAGATTCACTGGTAAACATTTGGTTTTCGAAGCATGTATGGTTGTTGTCTTTTGGGTTACCATTATTGGCAGGAAATGTTGGGTTTTTGGTTGCAGAACAAATTATAGATCTATTTCAGAGAAAGCGAGTTCAAGTGAAAAGAAAGTGTCTGTATTTAGATTCCCAAAGGAAGGGATGGAAAGAAATGCATGGATTTCTGTGATATCCAATGCAAAGTTATCAGTTTCTAAACAAACTTGTGTGTGAACTGCACTGGCCAGATGGTTATGAAAGTGAACTTGTTAAACTTTGTAGACGGTTACTTCAGTCCTCCCATCAATATGTCATAGGGCTCAGGGGGGACCTACTTTCTTAACATTCAGCAAATTGTGGAAAAATCAAAATTCACAGATCAAGACTACTTCTATCTCTTGATGCAGACCTTTCAAACCTTGAAGAACCTGGTCATTCCTGCTCCGATTGCAATTTTGACATTGAAACAGACGAAAAGGCTTCAGAAATTGTGGACAATCTAATTGAGTTGGAGCAGTCACTTGGTACAGAGACAAAATCTGTGCTGATTTATATTGCTGGCTATGCGACTCGCAAAGACGAAGAGCTGGACGAAATTTTTCAGCTCGGACAGACAACCTTCTACTACTAAAAGTACGGCCACCACACAAGCTCATTGGATAGAGTCGGCTTGAATTATATCCCTTCTGAAAGAGCATGTCAGTGGACCCTTGCTTTTCTTTTGTTCAATATTGTTAAAGACTCTTTTTGCAGAGCATCTTTCTGCAAGTTAACCATGTCTGACAGTTTTTGAGATCGAAATGCAAGAGAAACACGGGCGGATTCTGGCACACATCTTTTTTTTAAAAACTATTGTTACGCTTCCACTCCTCGCTCTTCAAAAGAACCTGCATTGAAAATGTTGAAATTATCATAATTGAATAGACATACACTGCAATCCATTGAAGAAGGAAACTGATACTAGAAGAAATTCTGTGCAAAATGTTAAGTTTAATAATTGATGTGATCAATGTCTAAAAAAAAAAAACCCACAGCAGAAAGCAACGCAGCAGTCTGACTTGGAACGTTTAATTGTTCATTGTTCGATATTTCCCACCCTTATTTCACCTGGATACATGGATTATACTACAGAGAAACATAAAACTGGCTTGGTAAGTAGGCCCCTACTCATTTATAAGGCATGTACAGTAAATAGATCTAGTCATGTCTTGTTTAGATTGTTTTATATGGACGTTGATTTCGATTTTTTTTTTTCGAAATTGCATAACAGATCTAATAGTAATAGGGCTAAGTAGTAAATAAATAATTATCAAGCTCTTTATTTTTATGTCACTTAGGACTAAATTGTAATTACCTTTGGAAACAATGCTCAGAGATTGAATATGGAGTCGACTGGATAAATAGACATTAATACTTAAATGATATAGTAGGCCCCCAGCCGCACGCTGAGAAGGCCTGTAGTAAAGTACGCTGTGTATATGACTCAATGTGTATGAGGGAAAGCGAAATTCAGGATTGAGAAAGGGAGAATAGAGAACTGATGCATCTGTTTTAAGTTTTCCGTCATGAAAAAAATGTTTGGATCTAGCTTTTGAATGTGACTGCTATGTCCACGATGAGAGTTGAATTGAAATTGGAGGAAAATTAATGATTGTTGTGTTAGGCTAGGGGTGTAATCGGAATTCCTTCTTCTCGTGCCGAAGCATGCCTGATTGGTGTGGATGTGGTTGGTAAATAACTTCTCTCACTGCTCTCGCAGATGGTTGGAGGGATCAACTGGTAGGTCCTGCTTCTTTACTTCTCCTCTGTTGTTACTGTCTGTGTGTCTTACTTTTCCCAACACTAAATGATCACTATTGTTTGGATGTACTTCTCTTTACTCAGACAAATGAACATCACTATCTCAGTTGGGGGGGTTTTCACGCCCCTGTCCCATGGTAGGTCCAGTCTAGCCACCTGAATTGCTCAAATAAAGCTAGAAGACTTTGAGGTCCTGTGTACATATTGTAGGCCTGAATGTTTTGCTGCAATTTGGCAAATCTACATTTCAATACTTTCTAGGGAAGTCACCAGTAAAATAACAGTGGTGGGTGTCTTTGGGACGTTTTGATTTCTTGGGACATATCTGTTAGTTTTGCTTGTTTTTTAATTAAAGGAAAATACTGTTGACTCACTGCTGTTCATTTCCTTTTTGGTCATCATTAATAAGAGGATATGGTTTACTCGTGTAATGAAGTACTTTTTTCAGAACCTCCTTTGTTTTTGCCACTGGTGCCATGTAATCTTTTAGAATGAAGTCATTTACCATGGAGCCTGTCATGACATGATCTTTGTGCACTCTGTAATTATCGAGCATTTTCAATTCGTTGCTGATATGTGAGTCTCTCTAAGATTATCTTCATTTTGAGAACACCTTATTTTTGGAGTCATCACTCTATTTCATATATATATGTATTTTGTAAGCAATGGTGCGTCATGTGATGTTCTTATGGCTTTATTAGGAATTCCTAATACGAGATCTACCTTTCCAGTTTTCCTTGTCTTTTGGAAACTAAATAAAAAGGGCTTATGATTATGTTAAATGTTGAAGGTTTAAATAATGTAATTATGGATTTATTGTATGCTGATGCTCTGTACAATTTCTTGTTAATGGAATAATTGATTTTGTGTTCTTTAAATGTCAGGCAGCATGAATGACTGGTTATTGTTTCTGTAAATAACTTTTGTGGTCCCTGTTTTATATTCAAAAGTATTATGTTGTGAAGCAACATCCAATTGTCCTCAGGCAAAGCTTTAATGTTTAGTTGGATAGTTTGTTTGGCAAGGGTCTTAAAGATTTATCAGATGTATATTTATTTAGTGACAAGGTCAGAATACTCCAATGGAATGAATATCACTTTGTTTTGTTTTTGGGGTTTTTTCATCTTGTTCATAGTGCCATAATGGACATGGGCGTATGTAAGATCTCCTTTATTGCTTTTGTTTCCTGTATTATATTTAGTGCTCCTTTTGTACTAATGGTGCTTTCAAAGGTGGAGCTCGTTGCTCCGTGGGGAGGGAGGGGGGGGGGGTAGAATCAATGTATGAAAGTAATTAAAAGACCTCACAGGGAAAATGGCATTGGTTGAAGAAAAAATAATGGGGACTACTTAATTTCTTTCACATGTTCATATATTCACAGCTGCTGTTCTTTCAGTGTTCAATTTTTAAAACCGTACATGTCTCTAGATGTGAATATCCATTTTGATTTAAAAAAATAGTACTGATGTACTAAATTGAACAAGTAATAATTGAAAATTGTGACTAATGCTTTTTTCCCTTGTAGTCTTTAAATGTCTTTCACATCAGACTCAGAGCGTAGATGGGGGGGGGGGTTACCCTTTTTCCTCATATCTTGTATGTTCTTCGCACAAATCTTTAGTTTCTCAGTATTGGTAAACAATGGAACTTGGAACACAATAGTATGGTCACATTTATGTTCACTGAGATGATTTCTGTCCATGTCATCTACAGTAGGTAGCGTAAACACGGCCTCGCGGGCACTCACGGCCTTCCGACCGCGTGGTATCGGTAAAATCGGGTTAATTCCGATCGCTGTTTCTTTGCTCTTTCGCTATAAAACACCAAATGGCGTACACCTTGTAAAAGTTCAGCTTTTCCTCGTTACAATGGTGTAAGTTGTTTATATGTCCGATTGTTAGGATCTGGAGAATCGCCGACGAAAGCGAAGCCCCTCGCGGTCAGAATGCGAGGTCGGCTGGTTGAAAAATTGCCACGCCTGCATTCAAATACTTCGCGGAACGATGGATGATTAAATAAGGTCTTTTCATTGGCGGAGAACTATAGAGCTTTAAACAGGCTTTCCCGTGATGTAAGTTTAGCCTTTAGCGTCTTTATAGAAAGCTTTTAAAACTACCGTCAAAATGTTTAAAGATCACTTTTTACACAAAATGTGTTTTTACCGGCTTATAAAAAATTTTAATTAAAAGATCAGTTAATTTCCTAATAGAATAAAGTAATTAAATCGGAATTATTTTACATCAATCCTTCCGCGAGACTCAGAAAGCATGTGACCCCGCACGCGGGGTACACTACAGTATAGAGCCGACTCGCTCGCCGCGGGGGCCGATGCGACGCCGGCCGGGTCAACGCTCGGTGTTTTTGTCGAAATAACGACAGATATCGTGTTTGAGGTGATAAAGTACTGATTTGTAAAGATCTCAGTCTTGAAAAAAATTATGCTCCATATATTTGTTATAGTGATTGTACTCTGTTTATGTGGAGATGTTTAGTGGACTTGTTACTTTTTTATTGTCTGTCAAACATGGGGTTGCTGCCAGTGACTAACTTTAACAAATTTGATCAAATTTTAAACAACTGCAATTTTCTTAAAAATTGACGGAGATGTTAAAGAATGGTACCAAAATGCTCAGTGGATATAGGCCTTTCAAATGGAACAGATAAATTTGGCATACAGCTAGTTTGAAAATTTAGTTTCTGGTACCTATCTACAGTTACTGTTCATTCCAGGTACCGACTGTGTTAAAATTAGATTTTCTGAGCTTTTATAAAATTTTGATTGTTGTTTTTATTGTTACTGGAAAGTTTTTAGGTTAAAATAGGATATTGTTAGGTGACCTAAAACTATCAGAATGAATTTACCTCCTGGGAGCCTTCCCAGGGCACTGTATAGCCATGAGATGGACTGACTTGAGTTGTGTGTCGTATGTATATTTCTCAAAATTGAAATGGATGAAATCAGGCTGCTCTCTTGCTGATACTTTGCTGCCTTAGATTCATGTTTGCATAGAGTCATTATACTTGTGATGTTGCTTGGCTCTTTTGAGTGGGCTTTCAAAAAGATTAATAGAGGAATGTGTATTCTTTGTTCAAGTTGGGTTTGTTAGAGATAAGTCTCTTACATATTGACCGTTACGGTTGCAAAGTATACGTTGTGTTTGTTCAAGTTTTACACAGGGCTTGCAACTGAAAAGGTCATATGAGCGAGCGGTACAAGGTAGAAAGTAGAGATAAAAGCAGGAGATAGAACATGACTGGAGAGCAGGAAAAGAAGTGAAAGGGGAACATTTTTCGTGGCTGTCAGCAGGTTTCGAACATAGGACCTATTGAATGAGAGGCAAATACTGTGCCTCTAGACCACAAGTGTAAGTTAAAAACCAGAAATAACAAGATACAGTAACATTGGTGCAAAACGAATACAGTAGTCTCCATCTCTCTAATAGTATTTGTTGACTGGTGGGTGGGCAGCCCTGGTAGTAGTCATCCTAGACATCAATGGGTTTTTTGGACAGCGTCATTGTATGATGTAAAGAAAATAGTGCAAAGGGGGAAGAAGGTGTTTGACAGGTGATTGTCTTTGGCGGGTAAGGAGCAGGTACAGTTCAGCTGTACATCTTTTTCTAGCACGCTTGGTATGTGGATGGTTGGCAGGCGCTCTGGTGTAGTTTGTTCCTTCTTTCCTATCAAACATCTGACGTCCTTATTGCTGCTCCTTTTCTTTCTAGGTTCCACCGGCTTCTGTGGTGTAGCAGTTGAGGTGCCTCGCTGTCGCATACAGAAGCCTGGGTTCAATTCCTGGGTCGAGAGAATTTTTATCAAATATCTCTGTCGTTCTGATGGGATGTTGTATCCCTTTCATCCCAGTTTGGCCCTGACACTACACTGGCACGGTCGAAAAATGTTTGTGAATTAGTGTCTAGTGACATATCTTTGGCATTCATATATTACCGGTATTATCAATTTTTGTTGCAAGTGCCATAAAGCTTGTTTTGAAAACTTTTTTAAAAAAAGAAAACGCTTCACACTTTCACACTGCTCTTTTCCTGGAAAGTACATGTACTATGTAGTAGTTTTGGATGTACACAGTGTGCTGCTGTTACTGTCGTTATGTACTTCAGCATGATCAAATAAAGCTCAGGTATAAAGTCAGTGTGTAGGTAAAATGATTACTTTCTCTGACAAGCATTGGATGAAAGCTGATTAAAAACATTTCACTTGAATGTCCTG